ATACATGTCGCACTCACTCATGATTGAGCACACATTGAAGGGTTTTTGCTCTCCCTATGCTCACATATTACTCATATTTTAAATTTTGATTTTATTGCCGTGTGCAACAACTTCAAATTCTTTTACACTCTCATACATGTCCCGCTCACTCATAATTGAGCACACATTGAAGGGTTTCTGCTCTCCCTATGCTCACATTGCTTCCTGACAACATGGATTCGCAATTCCAAAAAATTTGGAATCAACGTTTCTTGATTCTAGGATATGGAATCTTGATTCCAGCAATCCATGAATCGAGATTCTTAAACTGGGTGGAATCGCGTTCCGCAAAAAATGGAAACGTGATTCCTTTCTTTTAGAATCGACTTTTGCACGGGAAAACACCGAATCGAGATTTCGAAATGAAATCGCTACCCTCATAGGCGATTCAGGTAACTATAGTCCACAAGGGAATCCACCTCTAACGAGAGAATATGCCCTCTCTTAGGGTCTACAAGGGAATCCACCATAGTTACTCTCTCCACCGACTTCGCGTTTCCGGTTCCAAAACCCGATTCTACGTTTCTATTAAGTAAACACCACGGAACCATTTTTTGGAACCTAGGAAACTCGATTCCTTAATTTCAAAATCTTGATTCAACACATCTTCAGAAACTATTTATCAGAACCAAGGAAACTCGATTCCTTAATTTCAGAATCTTGATCCAACACATTTTTAGAAACTTGAACCCATTAATTGTGGGTAGACGTTCCCAAATATATAGAAACTAGATTCCAATGAGGATTAAATCTTGATTCCACGTCAATTGGAGTAAAAATCCTCCTTCGAATGCTTCTTGTGGTTGCAACATTTTATTATTTTACTTGTGCCACCCTGGATGGCCTTTACTTTAAATTTAAAATATAAATTTTAATACAACACAATTAAAAGTAAAACCATGGCGTAGGCATGATCCTATTTTGTCTTTATAATAATGAAGTCAAAATCACAATTTAGAAATACTTGTCTTTTGTATATAATGACCGTAGTTCAATAGTTAACACAATCACTTTAAAATTTGGGAAACCTTCAAAAGTTAACACAATCAATATAGGTTATAAAGGTAATGAGGCTCAAGATGTGCTTGTGGCCTCCTCCATAAAAATGAAATCTCGATTCCTGGTAGGGGTTGTCAAACACATTCCATAATCCATATTATTGTAAATCTTGATCTCAAACTGACATGGATCTATGATCCATATACTTCAGAAACATGATTCCAAATATATTAGTATCACGATTTGAAACAACATATCTCTGTTCCACATATGTCAAAAACTCAATTCCATAAATGTCGGAAACTCAATTCCGCATATTAATGAATCTTGACTCCTGGAGAGTCGACACCAGGGAGATGGGAATCTCAATTCCAAGGAGGACAGAATCTCAATTCCAGGTGGATGAAACTTGGATCTATTTCGGTCGAAACACGATTCTCAAAAACTAGGAATCTCGTTCCTAGCAATTCCTATTGTACGGACAACAATTCTGTGATTTTTGTTCCTAAAACGATTTGGGTTCCCAAGCGTTTCCAACAACTATACAATCCACCCACGATGATCTCTTCACAAGATCTCAACACAAAGTCTTTCTTCACATATTACCCTCTCCAAGAGAGCTCCTCCCTTTAAATACAAGAATTGAAGTAACGTAAAAGCCTAATAACCTAAACTAAAATAATTCTTAAAATCTCCAAAATATAAACCTTAATTAAAGTACATAAAAAAACCCAAATTAGGTCATTCCATTACTGCGTCAATACCCTTCCAAGCATCTAAAGAATTAGCAGAAGCCAATGCCTTCTAGAAGCCAGCCCGAATTATTGAGGCCATATCACGCTTGGATAACCTTCCAAAATGGCTGTCTTGGGTCACAAAACACCACCACTAGGGGCAGCATTTGTTCTCAGAATTTCATATTACCCAGCTTCTTTGGTTAACAAACATTTTTCAATCTAACAAGATGGAACTAATGGTTCCCTAAGCCCCAGCCTAAAGGGATTCTAGCTACTTTGTTGCAATAGCAGCTAGCATCCTAAACAACAAAATTTTGAAAATGGGAATGCTAGTCAAAGTTGCCTCAATTATAGTTGTCTATGCAGCTAAACATTGGTCTAATCATTCCATAATTGCATCTATTGTGCCTAGCATGGCTTGCCAAGGCACAATGGTAGACCCAAATACTAATTGTGCAATGGCCCAATCTTTTCTCCAGCCCTACTTACGCTTGGGTGCTAATTACCACACCAATTAGTATGATCTTTGCCGGATTTATTTTGAGTGCCATGGCAACTTCAAAAATCTAAAGAAAAGCCATAAGCTGTCTCTTGATCATGGCAAGCATTGCAGAAGACAACAGTGTTGCGTATTATAGTTGGGAGATTGAGGGACTTCAGGTGGAAACTTTACAAGCCTGAAGTAAGTTTTGGTCAAATAAGTTTGGGAAAGAAGTATTAAAACTTCTGCCATGATTGCAAAGAGAAAAGGGAAAGGGAGTCTCCTAGCAAAGCCCTATGGAAGCAGGGAAGAAACTTGAGGGATGGATAAGCATAGAAAATGGAGGGGAAGAAATGTAACCCCTGATCCAAGCCTTCCATTTTCTGCCAAAGCTCATGAGGTGAAGAACAGGAAGGAGGGTCCCCAGTCAACATGGGCGACTAAGGCACTATCCAAAATTTGTTGATCCAGGATGAAAACCTTGAGATGGAGAGATTACCAAGTTAAGCATTGTCCTGAGCAGAGAGGCGAGGTCCCTGGTGAGGATTTTGTAGGAGTTGTTAAGCCAGCTTATAGGCCTGAAATCCTTTAGCTCCTAAGCTCTCTCCTTTGAAATGAGGGCGATGAAATTGGCATTCATGCCCTCGTTGATTATTCCCCTATGGAAGAACTCAGAGAAGAAAGCAGGAACACCAAGGACTAGAGTCTCCCATAAGTTTCAGAAGAGAGCCATTGGGATGTCATCTGAGCCTGGGGCCTTGTCTTCCCCACGTCTTCCGCCACCTTCAGGATTTCCAGTTTGGCAAAAGGGCCTTCAAGCCAAGTGGCAGTCTCATTGGGCAAAGCTCAGAGTTGGAGGGAGGAATCTGAGGTCGGTTTTGCTTGTTGGAAGAAAACAAATTCTCAAAGTACCCCATGATGGCCCTGTCAATGTTAGGTGGACCTCTCCTACTATGACATGGCTTATGGAGTAGGCTCTCCTGCAACAATTCATTATTTTGTAAAACTAGGCAATATTTCTATCTCCCTCCTTAAGCCACTTGACTTTGGATATTTGGTACCAAAAGATCTCAACCTGTCTAAGGAAAATTTAGTACTCTACTTTTGCTGCTACGCTCTATCCCTTTCGCCTGGTTTTTCTCAGTTGTTTCTTCCACCAAATCAAATTGACTAATTCCCTAGGTAGATCATCTTTTCTACCAGCTAAGTTTCCAAACTTTCTGATAACTCTAATTCTTCATATTTCCCCTTCAACAATAGCAATTTTCCACACAATCTAAACTCTGCCCAGCCGTGTACCCTACATGAGGACCACCATAACTCAAACATAAAAGATTTGGCACCCCAATGGACTGGATCCGATCCTAAATGGACAGGGAACGTGGTACAATGTCAGTTTGAGAAGAGCTCTGGAGTGTATACTAGAGAAAGCTTCCTCTTTGAGATCAAGAAGCTACCCAGATTTGAAAGTGTAGGTTTTCGGCAAGGTCTGATCACGTAAAGGAGGAAACATCAAGAGGTAGATAAACCAAAAATTCCTGAAAATGTAGTCTGAGAAACTGGCCATGCTAGCTGGTATGTGTCCTGGTCTGTACCTTTTCAGAAGACAACCTGATGAAGTTATAGCCACCACCTAAGACCTATTAGGGGAAGAGAGGGAAGCAACTTAATGCAGCTCTTGCCACAGTGCTTCTCTAGGATTTAGCCAGTTTGGGCCATAAATCTCCAAAAACTTCCTAGAGAGATTATAGGGGATTTGGGACAGAATACCATGACAGAGAAGAAAACAATGCTGGCTGTTCAGTGAGCAAAAATTGTGGGATCCAGATGATCCAAATCCCTCTAGAGGCCCCATGGGTTCGGCCCCAGACTTGACAGACCAAAGCAAGAATGGGTGGACCCATCTTGGTTTCTATGATGGCTAGGATAATGCTGTTGAATTTAAGGGAGAAGGATGAAATGGCCTTTTTCAGAGGCTCCCAAGCCCCTGACGTTCCACACCAGGGCTCGCATTTGGGAACAGGGTGGGAGGGCTTGTGACATAGAACATGATATCAGTATTGATAACAACATTTATACTTCTTTAGCAAAGTCAACTGAAGTATAAATCTTCACAACTTTTTCTTTTCTTTTATTTTATTTTTATTTTTTTTCAGAATTTACTACCAATTCAAATTTCTTCCTAAAAATGCAGTTTACATCCTAGGTATTTTACTTACAAGTAGTAAAACCGTCTTTTTTTCTTATTTGCATCCCCATGCATCAGTCAAGGTTGAGTACTAGTTGGACCACTAAATATGTCAAGCCTGATTTTGTTACAGCCCCAGCCAGATGACAAATAACTCTTGCCAAATACTAACTTGGAAAAGAGGTAGGAGATGTGCAAAGTATTTTATGCAGGTAATGAGATGAGATGTGAACATACTTTACTACTAATAAAGTATGTTAATAACAAACATGTATGTTTCACAAAAGATGGGAAAGAAGGGAAACTAAAATCAGAAGGGAAAGATACCATGATCCCCATGACCATGGGAAATCTGTGGTAATCACTGTTTATCACAGCCCAATCAATGGATATACAGACCTAGCAAATGGGGTCATGCCATATTCTGGTTGGTCCACTCTCTCCATCCCCTATTTGATTGGACACTGATGTCACTGAAGCAACGTGGTATACTCAAGCAAATCACCAAAAGAAAAAGAGACACTAAGAGAATGAAAGATAGCAATTAAGAATGTACCTGAATCGAACCTCTGCAATCTGGCAGGACAGTTGTGGTAGCAAGTTTTTGGACAGCTGTTCTTGAGGAGCTGGCTGCTCTGGATCTGACCCACTTATGAGCAGGTCAATATTAGAGGGAAACCCCTCTCCCCAATCATCTTTTCCATTCCCAAGCACAAGCCTAATCTCCAATGTCTCTGAACCTTTCCTGTTTTCCATCGACGGAGTGGGTGGAACCTGCTGCCAGAAGTAATTCACTGGATGCTCTCTTGGCTCAATTCCAAATGACGAATTGAGGGCCATGGAAACAAGCTTGGAGCTCCGGCTTGATAGTGCAAGAAACCTCCTTGCGGGTTCTCTTTTGAGCTTGTCAGAAATTTGACCGCGGCCTAGACTGCAGGAATTCCGAGAGGCCATTGGGCCATGGATATGGTCATAGCACGAACGCGCTCTCCACACAGACGAAAGTATGGCTGTGAAGTGCTTTTGAAGGAGAAGCTCGTTGTCAGGTTGATCACTTGCCACGTCAAGCAACCAGTGGACATGATCCTGCTCAAGAAACACAAGTATCAGTTTTTTTTTTACTCCGTAATTTCGTGATGTGCAACTATATATAATTACATATTTTTTTGGTCAGTAATATTTTAATAATCTTAACTTTATCCTATTTTTTGTGCATTTAATAATACAGGTGCGTTTGAGACAAGGAAGCCCAACAACTACGCTCTGACACGTATCAAAAATTGCATCATACATTCACACACACATACAGAACATGCATACAACATCCTTTGAAAAAAACATTAAACATTAGCACTCTCAATATGGTTCAACAAAGTTGAAATATTTATCCAGAAATACATACATACATATCATAGATAATTACTTTTTGTCTTGGGTATGTCATAAATAATTAATATTAGCTTCTGGATAATATGGAAACAAGTCATCTCAGCTTAAATCTAAGAAAATTAGCATAAATATCCGCTACTATTTGCAGTATCTAAAAGTGTCCCCAACTTTTCATATTTTTGCTCATGTCCCTTTTTTGTTACTTTTTATTTTTCACCAAATACCCCAGCTCGGAACTCACAAGTTCTGAATCAGAGTGTTTCTTTATTTGACCAAGATATCGCTTTGGAACTCCAAGTTCCGAACCAGCCTTTTTTCTAAACCAACTGGTTCGGTCTTTACTGAGAAACAGACAAGAAAGCCAATTTGGAACTCGGAGTGCTGAATTGTCTATCACTTTTTTTTTCTTCCTTTATTTTGGGGTGAATGAGCAGTTCGAACTCTAAGTTGCAAGCCACTTGGGTCCCATGTTTTTCTAGAGTGAAGGACCACTTCGGAACTTCACCAAAGACAATGTTTTGATTGAACAACTGGTTTCGAGCTTCAAGTTTTGAACCAGTTGCTTCACAAAAAAATCAGTTCGGAACCTAAAGTTTGGAACTGATCTCACGATAGAGAAAAAAAGACCCAGGTTTGGAACTTGGAGTTCCAGATTGGGAATATTTCAGGAAAAATGGAAAAAAGAGACATGAGCGTAAAATATGAAAATGAGAGACATGTTTTAAGTACTGCAAAATTGAGGGACATTTACATTAATTTCCCTTAAATATATCAACACATATAAAAAATTACCTCGGTTACTTTAAGAAGAGCCTTTGCACCCCCTGAATGGTTCTTCTCAGTGTTGGGATTTTCTGTTGCAGAAGATATGTGGCCTAGGAATAGTTCTCTGAATCTCTTGAGACAATGGGCAGGGTGGCGAAACCTCCCTCTATAAAACCCACCAGCTGGCATACCATAAAGTGTGTCACTTGCTAGATTCCAGTGCAATCCATACTCGTGTACAATGGCACACAATAAAGCATCTTCTTGCGTTGTCCAAGAATCTGGACTAGGGATATGCTCTTTCTGAAAATAAGGATAATCAGGGAAATCCAAATTTAAGAAAAAATAACATTTAGATTGGCAAAAAGTATTATGAGCATCATAATGAAAAGTGACAACAATTCGCAGAATATAACAGAAGTAAACAAATGTTGCAACCTTAAAGCCTTACAAAAACGTCAATGTATTTGAAGAAAAAGGTATGTTCCACAATATCACGACATTTTAGGTTTTTAGTGTCACGGCAGGTTCTTTTAAGTTTGGAAAAAGTAAAACTTAATACTAATTTGCAATAGAAATTCTTTTATTTTTCCTTTTCTTTTCTGAATGTTTTTTCTGTTCACTTGAATTTCTTCAATTTACTTCTTTCTCTATCTTTTTTGAGATTTTTGATAGAAATTTCCTAACTGTTTGTTTGAAATCTACCAAGAGCTTACTTTCCCAAAAGATTTCCGAAAGTGAGAGTTGCTAATACAGTCAAAACAGGTGTACAATAAAGTGACATAAATGCCCATGATTTATAAGTACACATAAATCTAACAGCCAAACTGGAACCCCACCTTGTACTTTGCCTTTTCCAATTTGATAACCATAACCCGCTTTACAGGCATAGCCGTTATAGAAATCTTCCCACCCATTTTGCTCCGGCTTGCTGGTTTCACATCAACATCATGGATGCCTATTGTGTTCGGAGATTCAATTTCAGAGTTCTTATCTTGACTTTCTGAGCCCACAACATGAGTACCAACAGTGCCTCCTTTCTTATGTTTCTTTGAGCCCTTCTTTTGAATTTTCCCCTCATTGGGTAATTTAGGAGCTCTCCTCTTCTTATTGCTTACTGAAATTGCTGCACTGCTAGGCGTCTTTTTCTCTTTGGATATTTCTGGAGCTTCTGGTATTGGAATTGCAGGCAATGCTTCTGAATCGGACGCCAGGGCTCCTTTCTTCAAAGACTTGAATTTTGCCTTCTTTGTCTTCTTTTTTGTTTTGGTCTTACGGTCACTTGATTTCACCTTCCTGTTTGAGGTGAATACGTAATATAAAGAGTTATATACCCCTTAATCACAAGCAGAAGAATCCACAGATATTTTCTTTAATAAAATGAAAGTTCATAAAATCATGCAGGTTAACCAAAGTGCACACAAAAAACAAAAGAAAGCAAACATCACATTGGTTACAGAGTAAAAATCCTGGTGTATTCTACACTGTTAGAAAGTGAGTCACACAAAATAATAACAAAAGAAGTTAGTAGTACTCAAACTTGGCAGTTCATAAGAAAATGGAAACAATGTCATAAACCAAATCCAGACAAAAAGGAGAACAAAAAGAAGAGAATGATCTGCAAAAAAATAAAATCATGAAACATGCTTAAAGGTTGGCAGATTCTCAAAATTAAACTACTACTTCTGCAACTAGTTCAATAAAAGATTTTTTGAGATGCGTCAATTAGAGTGTCCTTTTATATTTGGCATGGGGTGAGTATTTAGTTCGGTCAACTTCTAACTACAACAGCAAAAAAGTAGATTTTGACAGAGTAAGAAATATTTATATAAATGATCAAGGAAATAAATAAACAAAAAATTGCTGTCTCCAAAGAAGATTTGACTAAATTATGGAATCATTCCTGCAAGTGTTGAAAAACAATTAATAAGCCAGAATTTGTTCTTTAAGAATATATAGTTTCAAATTTAGTATGGGAAAATACATAAAAATTTGGAAGTTAAGCTAAAAAACCAGCCAAATTTGTGATTCAAGCCATTAAATGTAAAAGAAATATACAAACAGATCATTACTGCAGGTCAACCAAAATAAGGCCAAACAGCTGGTCTTTGAATACTGGCTAACTTTTGGCCAAAGCAAATTTAGGCTGCAACAACCACCCAAAATTTAAATCCATAGTAGTACCTGTTTGTGTCTCCTTGATCATCGTCATCAGCTGCCTCTCTAGTTTCTGACTCTAGCTCTTCCATTAACTGTTTAAGATTACACAGTAGGGTCAAAAATGTCAACAAAAACTAGGACTGAGTGTGTTAACAACCATATAAAATGATATGGATAGACCTGACGCTGAGCTAAGGCCTCAACATGCTGCCGGTACGCTTCCGTTGCAAGCTCCGTATCCCAGCCTAGTTTCAACAAGACAAGTAAAAGAGTTCAAGACACGCAGGAGATGTTCAAATTGTGTGCAAATAGATAGGCACCAAACACTATACAATCAAAAGAAAAGGAAAAGGGGAAGGGAAAAAGTAAAGAGTAATTAGACATAAGAAACAAACAGCCTCCCGAAAAATGTACAACTCAAACCAATGAAAAATGTTTAAGGTCTAGGAAGAAGATGGAAGTACAGAGAATATAATGTCCACATATCATACTCTGAAATGCACTGGCAAGCCAAGGCTGAAAATTTTCAAACATGGAAGAAAGGAAAAGATCATGCAAGGTAATCATCGTCTATACTTCCAAGACCATATCACATCTGCTCAACTCATCAGATTAAATTGTAACTATCAATCAGTGAAGAATGGCCAGGATCCCCCTCAGTAAACCAAAATTTAAAAACTTTAGAGAACGGACTTCACCTCCTTTCAGCTGTTTTTTTTTTTTTGGAAGCAAATTTGACTTTGTATCAAAGTAAAGGTGCAATGTACAGTAAATGGCCACCCAAAGCCAGGGAATGATTACAGGGAACCCACTAAAGTGGGCTATACAAAGGAATCATATGAATACAGAACTATCATGATGACAAAAAAGGAACCAAGCACTTAAAAAGGTGCAAAACTGGTTCCTGATGGGGGCCTCAGCAGGATTAGACCCTTTTCTAGCCTAGGTGTCTGCTGCTGCATTCGAATCATGCCAAATGTGCCTCCAAGTGATGAGCAAGTTTCTACGAAGATGTGAGATTTAGTCAAAGAGGCTAGCCAACCCCCAGGGTCACATGGTAGAGTCTGAGGTCTAGAAGATTACATTTTTGGAGTCGCTCTCAATGATCAAGGATGCACACCAGCTGGGGTCAAAAAATTTAAGGCCCTCTAGGAGGGCTGGTACACGGCAGTGTTGGAGTCAAAGTGGCCAATGGACTTGGAAAAGGGGAAGAGAGTTCTTCCTTCGTGGTCTCGATAGATACTCCCAATTCCGGCTAGGCCCCGGTTACCAAGGGAGCAACTGTCGAAGTTGAGTTTGATGTGCCCGGGATCATGAGGTTTCCAAAGAGAGGCCAGGGAAATGCGAGTCGGCCTAAGGTGAAACATAGCTTCCCAATTAAGGTGGGAATCCGGGTAGGAGAAGTGTTTGAATAGGCTGTTGTTTTTGGCCCGGAATATGACGAGAACCTTCACCTGGTGCTTCAAGGCATTGGGAGTCTTAAACTCTCCATGGAATATCCTATTGTTTCTCTTGGTCCAAATCACCAGAAAATTGGCCATAACGGATGCCTTCCACAGCATTATACCTGATTTCACCCAAGAGAATGGATGCAAGGAGTTGAAGAGGTTAGGGACACTCCTCAGGGTCACTAAGACCAATTAAAAAGCTGTAACAGTTCCCCCCAGGTTGGTGGGCCACCTTGCAGTGGATGAAGAGGTGAGGGTTGGTTTCTTCAGCCATCAAACACATTACACACCAGTTGGGTATGGGTAAACCACTTGTTTGGAGCTGGTCAACAGTAAGGGCTCTTTCGGTTAGGGTAATCCAGTTGAGCACTTGGATTCTGGGGGGAATGAAGGGGAACCAGGCCCTCGACATAGAGGGGGAGTGAGGAGTTCCGGTGTAGGTAAGAGTGAAAGGCAGAAGGATGAGACTGAGAAGAGGCCGGATGCAACGAGGGACCAGATTATTCTATCATCACCTTGGGAGGGACAGAAGACCGATTGGAGTAAGGAGGGCAGAGCAAGGAAATCATCAAGCTCATTATCGGCCAGGGGTCTCCGCAAGATTCCAGCTTCTAGAGGCTGCCCACGGTGTAAAAATGTTTGGCAACAGTTCCCTAGCCATTTCAGGCAAGAAGGAATAGGCTGGCAAGCAAGCGCTAAATGTGGCATCGCCAATCCAGAGGTCTAACCAGAAGTTGACGGTGCCCTGTCCTGGGTAAAAATCTGATGTTGTTTTTGAAACGTGTGAGGCAAAGGTGTGAGGCTGTGAGGTATGGATCGCAATGCTCCTGAAAACGGACTGCTGGCTCTGCTAGGAGGCACCCAGCCAGAGGAGTAAAGCCGGTATTTGTGGCAGAGGACATGCTGCAAAGGTGGTGGTTTTGGGTGGCCAAGTGCCACCACCACTAGCCAAGGAGGGCAATATTGTTCCACTTGAGGCTGCAGATGCCTAGCCCCCCAAGGTGTTTGGGCATGCATACTCTGTACCCATAAATAAGATGGAATTTAGTTTTATCCCCTTCACCCAACTTAGGGAGTTGCGCATTAGCTGCTCCAGTCATTGGACAATATATGAAGGGATGTGGAAGAGCGACATTTGGAAGATGGAGAGAGTTGCCATGATGAGGGTGATTCTGCCCGCTGAAGAGAGGAAGCATCCCTTCCACCAGCCAACTTCCAGTCAAATTTATCTCTGAGGTGACTCCATTGGCTGTATTTTGGTTTTGCCAATGCAAAGGGGTAAACCTAGATAAGTAGAAATCAGATCATCGACCTCACAGCCCCATCCAGCTGCCAAAGAGGTGATGTTATGGGCATTGGCCCCATCATTCTAGTTTTTCCAATTTTCACCCTAAAACTAGTGGCCAATTCAAAACATTTGAGAGAGAGAAGCAATCAATCAATTTGTTGGCAGTCAGCCCCAAAAATAGTAAGTTATCATCCGCATGTTGCAGGTGGGAAATAGTCGGTCCTTGGTTCGCAATTTGGAAACCAGTTGTTAGGCTGTGGAGGTACAACCTCTCAATGGATCTACTTCCCCAACAATAGCAAAGAAGAAGGGGGAAAGGGGGTCTCCTTGTCTGAGACATCTACAAGAGGGGAAAAAAACCTTTCGGAGAGCCATTGATGATGATCGAGAAGAAGGGACTAGAGATACAGCTGCGGATCCATCTTCTCCATCAATCTCCAAACCCATCCTAAACATCGTTTCGTTAAGAATAGTCCAGTCCACATGGTCATAGGCCTTTTCTCAATCCCGCATGATGACTATGCCTGGCAACTTCGAGAGGTGTAGAGTGGACACACTCGTGCGCCACCAAGGCTCCATCTAGGATTTGGCGATCCTTCGTGAAGGTTTCGTGGTTTAGGGAGATGACCCAACCGTGTACTTCTCTAAATCGAGAAGCCAACACTTTGGAAAGTATCTTCTAGGAAATGTTGATCAGGCTAATTGGTCAAAAGTCCTTGAGTTCCTAGTCACCTTCATTTGGGGATAGGGCGATGAGAGCTGCATTCATGGCTTTCTGCCTGTTTGCATGAAGTATTTGCTCATATATATTAATACCACAGCTAATCTTCCTCCACATTCAAGGAAAATGATATTTTGTGTCGATTGGCTGGTTTAGACTTATCGCTTTAAAGAATATGAAAAAGATAAACTAAAGCAATTTTGGTGTTTATGGAATTACATGTTTTAGTTTAGAAGATGAGTTTTAAGTCTTGAAAAGGAATCCCATAAAATTTGCATAAATAAACCTAACAAATTTGCTTGACATAAATGTTGAAAACTAAGTCCTACATGAATCTCCTCAGCTGGGGTGGTGAAGCCAAATTCCAAAGGGAGCTCGAGGGGGAAATCCAAGGCCAAAAGGTTTGGGGGTCTTTCTAGAGACTCTGAGGGGAGGATTTCATTATTGTTCACATTATACCTATAGTCTTCATGATTTTACCTACATAGAGGCTAAAGCCTCATTGTTAAACTTGGGTTTACGCATATGAAGGTGGAATACATGATTATGTTTGAAAGTGATAGTATTAATGTGATCCGATGGACTGCTGGATATGCATCCCATTTGTCCGAGAGGACATTCATAGAGGTTGAAGATATTATTTCATCCCAACCTTTCTCCTTCCATCATGTTCCATGGTCTGCAAATGCTGATAGATATGCATTGGCTAATGGGGGTGTATACAGAGATGCTATTTCAACCTACGTGGTTCTATGCTCCATTAACTCAGCATCCAGTTTGGTGCATTTCATTAGGATTTCCAACATAATTTAAAATTAACAATCACATTTCGTTAATGATAAAACAATCATCAATGTGGCTTTGTTGAATGTGGCTGGAATTGGTTCACAACTAGTTCGTAAGTCATAGAGCTATTTCTTTTGCAAATGGGACCAAAAATTCCCTTTGTTGTTGAATCCAAAGACCTCTCTCAAGAAGAATTGTGAGAAAGAACCCAAGCCAAGCTTGATTACCAAATTACCCTTAGAAAAGAAGAAATCTTCTGGTACCAATGGTCCAGAATCAAGTGACTAACGCTTGGAGCTTGGAATACTAAATTCTTCCGAATGAAACAAATCAAAGGAATAGGAAAAACACCATAATTCACATTACCGTTCGTCAGCATACCTATAGCCATCCCATGGAAGTGGAAAGGGCTATTGTCAAATTTTTCAAAAAGCTCTTCTCTGCTAAGGCCTTGAATGCGTGACCACTATTTCCTCCTCCCACCCCAGGACAAGGCTGAATGGTTGAAAAGGCCTTTCTCATAAAGGAGAACCTCAAAGCCGTCAAGGACCTAAGACAAGTGAAAGCCTTGGCATCTAATGGTTTCCCAGTGCCTCACTCAACAATTTTTGGGACCTCATTCATCAAGACATTGTTAATGTTTTCAATGAGTTCCATGAGAGAGGAAGTGTCTGCAAGGCTATGGACGCCACTTTCCTAACCCTGGCCCCTGAAGTGGAGGGGAGCTGAAGATCTACAAGACTTAAGACCTACTGCCTCCTTAATAGCTCCTACAAAATCCTTGCCAAAGTCTGTGTCGTTCCTCTGGGGTTTGAAAGAGGCACTCGTATGCATTATTTTTTATCCAGATCCAATACAATACCTGATAGAATGTGCGAGTTTGGTTCAGGTGGAAGGCTAAAAAAAGGTAAAGGTAGGCTCAAAAGGACATGGTTGGAAATTACCACATCATTGGGCGAGGCAAATTATATAAGGCGCACTAACCAGCATGACGTTCCCTAT